TATATAATTATCAAACCAATTTATAAGACATTCTTCTAAGAATAATGATCCTTATATTTAGTTTGTGATTCAACATGTAATAATACAAAGAACATTATAATTTGTTTTAACTTTGAATTTTATACTTGATTTCCTATATAAAAAACAATTTGATATTCCATTTCCTATCTATTATATATACTACAAGGATGAAAAATATAATTAAACCTAGAAATATAACTTAAATTAAGAGGAATATAAAAAGAGATTAAAAATAAAATTATTTCTTGGGAATTTTTAAGGTTTCTCTCTCTCCTTATTGGTCCATTTAGCATTTATTTTTTAATTATAATATTTATTTTTAATTAAACCAAATATCTAACACATTTAGTCATATACTGTAATTCATACTTGAAATCCACACTTTACTATTAAATTGTAACTTAAATTATATAACCTTTCAGTTGACTATTTGTTTCCTCCATTTAACTTCAATTAACACACTATAAAATATAATTATAACTCTTCTGATTTAATTATTTTAGAATTGCAACTTACATCATATTTTATCCTATAAATACTCATTTTTACATCCTCCTCCACCATATATGATATTCTCAATATTTTCTTTGTTTAATTTTTAATGTTCTTGCATGGGTTGAAAGCTCAATTAAGATATCATTGTAAGAGCTTGATTATATATTTGGTTAAAACTTTTGTTTTTAATTATATTTCTTCTTCATTTTTTCATTGTTTTTTATACTATTAAATGTATAATACATATGTATAATAATATTTTATGGCTATAAGGAAATTACTTTATCGATGGGATTCAAAAATATTGATTTCTGACCATCGTACCATAAGAAAATCAAGCTAAATAAACCATTTTCATTGTTTTACTTTATTTTTTTTCTTTCTCACATATTCATGTATATTTATTTTATTTTCGAACTATGTAATTATTTTAACAAAATATTTTTTTGTTATATTCAAACCAATTTGTAAGACATTGAAATAAATAAAATTTTATACACAAATAAAGGTAATTTTTGTGTATATTTATAAGTTTACACACATATTTGGATAAATTTCAACATTTTTAGTGGTTGTTTTCATAAAGTTTGAAAAGGGGGTAAATTTAAAAAGTTGTATTTTTAAAGTGGTATTTTTTAAATTCTCCCAATATCATTTCTATTTTTATCATTAACAATATTATTGTTTTATCAAAAAATACTGAAAAGTACTAAAGAAAATTACTATCAAAATTGATTAATTGAACAATTAACCAACGAATAAATTCAAAAGATATGGATGTATGCTTCTATTGTATGATTTAAATAAATAACATGTAAAAATGGCATAAGCATTAAAATTTATTTAATCTATTTTTATAAATAATAAATAAATTAAAATAATTATAAAAATATACAACAACCCGCGCATATGCGCGGGACATTACCTAGTATTCTAAAACAGTCCTTTAAAGGAATTAAGAAGTTTGATCGTTCTTATTGCGCCGGAGAACAAAAACCGATCGCGTCCCCTATCAACGGGGCAGCGAGATACATCAAGCAAGCTCTTTTGAACTCTTTTTGTGAAGTTTGTAGCTCGGTAATAAGGTCTCCTAATGCTTGTAACACCCAAAAAGAAGTGTTATATAATACCGAGTTAAGTCAAGGTGTAAAGTGTAAGATGCTTGAGTTAAAGGCAAAGCTATACCATTTTTTATCGTTTTGAAGTAGAGATTATGGTTTTGAAGTAGAGGTAGAGATCATGCACTGTCATTTATTTATTTTCTTATATAACTCTACTTTGAACAGTTTTCTAGTTATTTTTTTTATTAGCATATCTATAAAACTCCTAAAATTTTTATTTATTTATTTTCTTATATATCTCTACTTTCAATAGTTTTCATTTTAGATTTCAAATGAAAATGTTTGGTAAAAATTCCAAATTTATTTCACATTTTTAATGACTTAGCCAATAAAAAAAAATTGAAAATATATCTATTTTATATTTTTCTTAATTTACGTACAAAAATCTTAAACAACAACTCATTAAATAGTAGTTACTCAATATATTCGCAAATGAAATCAATAATGTAGCGCAAATCGTGCAATTATTGTCAACAAACAACTCATTCGATATGATTAAAATCTTAATTTAGGAAATGAGAAAATTCAACTTTTCATTATTGTATGCGACAATTATTGGAAACATATTTACTCCCAATTCCACTAATGTATCGGCAATCATAATATAAAATTTTAAGGCAATGTTAATAACTCCAGCAAACGAGAATACATAATTTTACCACATCCACTAATTTTCTAAATACACAAGAAAATCTCACATCGATAACAATGTATGTATATAGAAGCTGCTGACGGCCTTGGAAGATCTAGCAACTGAAGGCCATGGACTCGCAGACGAGCATCACGTAAGAACATGTAAGCTTAGGGTTTATTGGTTTTTTTTTTTTTTTTTACAAAATTTACTACAAGAGAAAGAGGGCTCCCAAAAACTCTTCCAACCAGAATCAAGCACAGTTGATGAGATATTCTTTCTTTCTAGGAGATTTCTTTTATAATCAGACTTTTAGAATGAATTACCAGTTATAAACTGATGCATTACCCTAGTTTTTGTACTTGTCTTTTTCACTTTACTCACTTGTAACAGTCTGTTAAATGTTGTTTAAATGTTGTTCGCATATGGGAAGTTGCTAGATATAGCTTATAATTGAAGCAAGCATTGCATCTATACTATTAAAGCTGAAGTACACAATGAATTTACACTATAGTTTCAAAATGATATAATTATCATTTCTAACTGGGTTAACACACGGATCTAACTAACTAAACGGATATGTTAATCGGGTTTAGAGATTTAATCTCCATCGTTCATTTTTCAGTTGATAAAAAAAAAAAATTGGTTTTCAATATTAAAGGAAAGATAATTATTACGTTTGATATTTAACTTTATTTGTAAGATACAATGCCTAAAACTTAGTTTAATTGGCAAGATTTTCTTAATTTCAAATATTTTATAAAGATCTTGATCGAAATTTTAAACATTGAGTATTTTAATATTTGTTTTAATAGAAACCATTCCATGTTTTCTTAGTATGGAATATTCAATGTAGTTGACTTTTTAAACTATTTTAATTTTTAACTTGACCAACCAAATCAATCTATATGTTTAAGTGTTTTGGTTCTGAATTTTTTTTTCTTCTTTTTAGGGGAAAATGGCTCTTTGATCTTGATTTGATTTCAAAAGTTGGCGGCCTTGGAAGATCCAGCGACCGAAGATCATAGACTCACATATGAACATCACGTAAGAATCTTAGGGTTTCTTGCGATTTTTAGTGTTTGTTGTGGTTTAGGGTTTCTTAAATGATGTTTGCTAATTAAGCATGAAATTATATACTTTTGCAAAGCTTCTTACTTTGATCATATTAAGTACAAATCTTTTTTTTATACAATTAGTTTATTTATGTTAACAACCAGAAAATGAATTTGCATATAATTCAATGTCCATATTTTCATTTTAAAATACCGATTAAAATTAAGAGATTGAGATGACTCCACAAAGCTCAAAGGACATGCCAGTAAAAATCAATGATAAAGTAAGAATTTAGTCTCATCAAGTGTTTTCGATTGATCGATAATTTCTTGAGTACACACCATTTAGCAATTCACCATCCGTTTTGGCCTTGCTTCAGGTTGCCAAGTGAAAGTGGAGAGGTTTTCGATATCCCAATAGAGTGTCTAGAATATGTGATGTGAAGACCCTCTCAAAAGAGTTGATGAATGGTAAAATCTCATCCCTTTAAAATTCTATATCTTACTTTGTTTTTTTTTTTTTTTATTGTTCTTATCTGATATTACAATAACATAACAATTAATTAATTAAAATGGAATTGAGATTAAGCTTGGGTAGTAAGGAACCATACCATTGCAGATCCCTCGATCGAAACATTTACCATATGATCTCAAGTCATGATCATATATCACAAGACTTGGACCGGGATTACGATCAATCCCATCAAAAAGCAACAGCTTATTCTTCTTCTTCAGAATTGCTAGTGGAATGGTTACTTGTCGGTCCATTTCATTCCCTGGAAAAAACTCTCTAGGAAAATAAGGTAGATCCAATGAATACATTATTTCCCATGTTTTGTCTTCATGATTTAATACCCATATGTATTGTTTTGGCCATGCTTTTTCTGATAGGCATAAACGGTTATTCAGATTGCTAACGTTGAGCAATCCAAAATTTCTCGAGGGAGTAGGGAGTACAAAGGTTGCCTCAAAAGTTTCTTTGTGAAAATCAAAAGACACAACTCTTGTTTTCGTAGTATCGGGGCCATCATTGATCAACCAATGAAGTGATCCATCTACGTAAACCGGTTCTTGACATGCATCAAAAATCACATAAGGAAAAGACTTCACGTACCTCCACGTATTGGTCTGATCAAAATCAAAAATTTCACAGGTAGTGACACTATCTTCGTGTCTTTTGAAATTGTTATATAACCAAACTAACTTGTACGCTCCCGTGTATATGTCTTTTCCGAATCCGAGCTTGTCATAGGAATACCGTGCAGTAGGCATTTTTCCTCGTTCTCTTAGCAAGGAGTAGATTTCTTGATAGCCCGCACCATGAATTTGTCGGTACCATCTAGTACTTGGATTGACAACAAATATTTCTCCGAACCTATCGTAACAACATATCATACCGTCACAACTATTGGTCACTTTAGGCGGGACATTAAACTCGATCGCTGGAATATCAATCCTTCTTGGTGGAGGGTTAGGACAAGGGAGCTCAATCGGAACCGATGAACCCAACACCAACATCCTCATTAGACAGAAGTTAATGGGTTCAAAAAGACCTTCAACGAGGAGAAAATTTGGGTCTAGTGATTGGTGATGTGTCATATGTCTCTTCTTGAAATGTTGAGATTCTAGAGTCCATCTCCATCTTCTGGACACAGATTTGAATCTGAGAAGAGATTTAACCGAGAGTCTTGAAATAATCTCCTCCACTAAATCATGAGGTACTTCCATACTAGTTATTGAATCGATGATTTTTTTTCCTCTTAGATGATATATGTACGTATAAGACCCTAAACATCTTATAGATTATATATATACAATACATAGCCTTTTTTACTTGGTGAGAGGGATCAATATATGTATATTACAATGTTTTAACGTGTCGAATTTTGGTGAAAAAATAAAGATAAAGATGATATATGTATCATTTTATTTAGAAAGATAAATATTCTTTTGCTTTCTTTTCATCTTTTTGCAACATTTTGAGATTATAAATTAAATTCATTCAATTCAATTAAAGATAATGCATTTAATCCAGTTAGATATATCATATATTATATTGCATTAGTGTTGTTATAAACTGTACGTTGATTTTCTTCTTTTTTCTGTGAACACATGTTAAAATTATGTATGAAAAGCAAACATATACATATACATATTTTTGCTTGCATGCACGTGCGATGGAAAAATAGAACAATAAACATGTTTATTAGTATATACATATATATATATATATATAATTAATAACCAAAAAAACATGTTTGTATTTTGTATATGCCAAAATACTTATGGTACGTTGACTTAGAAATTTTATAAAGAAAAAGAAAATTTCAGAAGACTTTGAAAAATATACATAAAGGAATGAATTGATAGATAATGTTAAACCTTAAAATGGGTGGTTTGTCAACCAAGGAAGAGTGTATAGTAGTAACTAATGAATTAGTGAAGATTCTTCTAGAACCATTTTTTTAGGGTTTGTGGGTTAATTTTTATGGGCTCAAGATTTTGGAATCCACAAATTGAAACCTTAAAAACTCTAATGGGTTGAAACCCAAATATAATGATCTTATAAGCCTTACCTGACAAAGACATTCAGTTTTTAACATATGATATATGTGTTTGTCATTTGGATTTTAATTACTAGTAACAAGTAATTGAACGTTCATTATTTTTGTTGTTGTTGCAACTTGCAAAAGATCATACGTCAACTTTGCAAAGACTCTAGTATTTGTGATTACAACTCTAATATGAGTTTCCGCGTAAACCAATTACTAAAAGTAACTTTATACAACGAAATGCTATTATCATATTGAGAAAGTATAAAACTTCACGGTAAGTTTTCAGAATGACAAAAAGTATATGAGTTGTTGCGTAATTATTAAGTTGACATCGAAATTAATAACTAACCTCACACTTTAATCACATACAAGAAATACTTATTTCGGGTAAATACAAATGGACACGGAATATAGCAGGATCAATGATATGAATTATTGACTTAGTAAAATCTTATGATGATAATATTTCTGAATAAAATATGGTTTTATATTGTTAAATAACTTATATTGTTAAATAACTTTTAAGATCAAAGTAAGTCGATATTAATTCAAAATTAATTTCAAGAAGCAAAATCGATATATATATTTTTTAAATGAATTTCTAAATCAAATTGGATTTGGAAAGCAATGAAATTTTTTATCTTGGTTCTAAAATTTCAATAAAAATTTGGGTTTTATTATTGGGCTTGTTAAAAATCTGTACCTCAATAAACTAAAAACAAAAAGTAAGGATTTAATAATCTAAAAATTAGTTATCTCACTTCCAGACACCTAAAATGACATTTCTGTCCTTCACTTGGTTTAGCCAAAACAAACAAAAAAGTGTAGGATACGTAACACTGTTCATAGCATTCGATAACTTGTTTTTAAACATATTAACTAATTTGTTATCGCGATAATTTACACATTATCAATTAAATTAATACTAACACTATTTATTTTTTATTGATAGAATTTGATAATACTGTTCATCCATGATTAATAGCATTTGATAACTTATTTTTAAACATGTTAAATAATTTGTTACTGCGATAATTTACATATTATCTGTTAAATTAATAATAACACTATTCATACGTGATTGACAGAATTCGATAACATTGTTCATCAGTGTTTAATAGCATTCGATAACTTGTTTTTAAACATGTTAATAATCTGTTATCGCGGTAATTTATCAACCCAAACCACTATTTTGTCAACCCAAACCAAAATTATATTTCGTTTAATTATAAAATCTAAACCCTAGCCACTATTTTGCCAACCCAAACCGAAATATAATTTCGTTCAATTACACAATCTAAACCATAACCACTATTTTGTCAACCCAAACCAAAATATAATTTCAAAACATATTTTTTGTGATTTTATTGTTAAACTTAATATGCTAAATAATTTAACAGTATAAATTATATTGTATTGGGATAAAACTATAAGTTATATGGTAAGTTTGAAATTATTCTGATAAATTATTTATTATCGTGTTGAATCATTGTATCATATTGTAGAAGTTAAAAACATATGACGTATAAATGTTGGATAAAAAAAGTCTATAATTTATTGATATTTAGTATGTTATCTCGTTAAGTTATTTGTTACCATATATAATGGTATTTTCGTCTAACCAAAATAACTATGAGAGAGAACTAATTTTAAAATTATTGAGGTCAAACACTTAATTTTTTTTTTATTTGAGTATACAGAGTGGTATTTCCCTTTATTTTACCAAAATAGCAAAACTAAGGTTCACTGAACATTTTAATATAAATAAAGGGACCAAATAATAATTTTTGAATTTTTTGCATACTATTTTTTATTTGAAAACCCTCAAGAGAGTCTATCTTAAGCCAAAGGTGTATTAACTCAAATAGCTCACTAGATGTTTAGTACTACTCTGCATCATCTTCCTCGTCGTCCGACTCTTCCTTGTTTCACCAGGTGGGTTTCTTCGTTTCTGTATCAATCTACTGTTTCGTTCTCGTGCCCTCAAGTTTCGTATATTAGTAATGCAACCAAATCGATCGTCTCTGTTCATAGTCATTGGGTAATTTCGTTCTGAAAGACAAAAAAATTTGTGTACTTTGTGAGAAATTTCTCATCTTTTTACTGGAATCAATCCTCACGAGTCTTGATTTGATATGGGTTGTAATTGGATTCGTATGGCTAATAGGCAATGATGAATTTTGGAGTTTAACCTTAACATTGATGTTAAAGGATTGATTTTTTTTTTTTGGTTTCCTGTATCTGACTCTTTGATTCAACAGTTCTCGAGTTTGCAGGAAAATTGTTTCGAAAAGAATGAGTACGAATCCAGCAATTGAGCCTAAAGTTCGCCAATTCGAATCGGTTGAAGGAGCTGATATTAGTTCAAGAAGTAAATCTGATGGTTTGTATATGTCCATAAGTTGGTATGAAGTTGTGAATATTAAGTATATGATTTGAGGTGGTATTGAGAATTTTTGTGTTTCCAGGTATCAGATTCCGTCTAGTTTCGTATAACATTTTAGCTCAGGTATAAATATCATCAAGCTGTTTAATATCCCATAAGCTTTATGATATGTAGTTTGATATTTGACAAAGTTTGTAGTTTTAATCTTAGTTAGATTGCGTTTTCTGGGCTTGATTTAGAGATAATAGCAGTTCTTTAAGTTCCTTTGTGAAGTTTCTGATATATTTGAGCTTCATCTTTCTTGTAGGTTTATGTGAAGAGTGCCCTTCTTCCACACTCTCCACCTGCCTGTCTCAAGTAACTATTCTCTACATTTCACATTTTCAAAATCAAACTTTATGACACTAGTCAAGAGTTCTTTCTGTGAGTTGTAATTAATGGTCTGGAGTATTAAAACTTCAAGTCAAGATTTACTTCAAAAAACAGCAATGGATTCAGTCAATGTGCTGGAACTTAGTTAGAAGTAGGCACTATTGTGTTTGGTGTTGCTCACATTGATTATATCGATTAACCAATATGTACTTGGATTTAGCCATAGATTATCTTTGTTAAAAGCTTAGGGAATGGTGCTTTTAAATGGGTTATGATATTTGCTGTAAATGTGACTTGGTCTTCCTTTTATTGTGTTGCAGGTGGAAAGCTCGTTCACATGCAATTCATAGCGTTCTCAAAAATCTCGAGGCTGATTTCTTTTGTCTGCAGGTTTATTCTTGTGAATCTTCTTCTTCTTCTTTTTGTTTGGTACCTTTTTCTAATAAGACAGAACTCCTTCCCTCTAGTTCAATCCACTAGACAATCTTAGATGTTCATAAATGTTAGTGTTGTTTGTTCATAGTGCCTATGAATTGTGTCTATCAAATGGTGTCTCCACTTGTTAGTTATATTGCTATTGCTACAATGTTTGCAGGAAGTAGATGAGTACGATAGCTTTTACAGAAAAAACATGGAGTCTCTGGGCTATTCTGGGATATATATTCAGAGAACAGGACAGAGGAAGCGTGATGGTTGTGCAATCTTCTACAAGCCAAGCTGGTATGATTAAAACATTAGGCGTTACAAGACTTAACTTAATGCAGAAACATTAATCTGATTGAAACAACACTCTTCTTTTGATTTAGTGCAGAATTGGTCACTAAGGAACGGATCGAATATAATGATCTTGTGGACTCATTAAAGGCAGATAGTGTTACCTGCAGCGAACAGAAGATTGAGACATCCAACGAAGGAAAAGGTGATGCCAAAGCGAAAGGTAACTTTGTCCTTTTGGAGGAAAAGAAAGCAAGTCCTTGGTACTGTTTCTTTACATCTCAACATCATTACCAACTTTTATCTATTGTTCTCTTCACATGTTTCCACAAATCTGCACCAAACAAAAGATTCTCGGAAAGACAGTCGTGACCTTAATGATCCACTAGTGAGACTAAAACGGGATTGTGTTGGAATAATGGCTGCTTTTAGAATCAACAAGCCATTTCATCACATTGTTATCGTGGCAAACACACATCTTTACTGGTAAATAAACTTGTCACCCATTAAAATGATATTTTCCGCATGTTTCAACTTTCATCTCATGATTACTTCTTTCTAGGGACCCGGAATTGGCTGATGTCAAGCTTGCTCAAGCCAAGTACCTCTTATCACGACTAGCTCAGTTCAAAACGCTAATATCAGATGAATTTGAGTGCACACCTTCGTTGCTACTAGCCGGTGACTTCAATTCAATTCCTGGGGATAAGGTTCGGTTCAATTGCTTACATCGAGTTTCCCTGATTGTTCAATCTTTTTTTGCAAATCAGAATATTTTGGGTCTCTTGTGGTAAAAGAATAATAATTTTCAACGTTTTCCAGGTTTATAGTTACCTAGTATCGGGTACTGTAAAACCCGCAGAGACCATAATAGAAGAAGAAGCTCCACTTCCTCTATCTAGTGTCTATGAAGTCACAATAGGAGAGCCTAAGTTCACAAATTGCACTCCTGGCTTCACAAACACACTTGACTACATCTTCTTCTCTCCTTCTGACTTGATCAAACCTGTGAGTATCCTCCAACTACCTGAACCGGAATCTCCAGATGTTGTCGGTTTCTTACCCAATCATCACCACCCGAGTGATCATTTACCAATAGGAGCTGAGTTTGAGATTTGTCGGGGATAGAAAGTTTTGTTCAGTAGAAATTTTTGTTGCATTACTCCATTGTTTCACCAAAGGAAACATACACAACACAGTACTTGAAAGACAAATCATTTTTGTCCCTATAAACTTGGAATTTTCATTTTTTGCATTGTTTTCATTGGAGTATTGAGAGAATATATGAACTTTTTCTATAGAAGAAATTTATTTACTTTTCTTACACTAATTGAAAGTTCAATGTTCACAATTTGACCATGGCATTAGTAAACAATATACCAATATTTTCTAAACGCTTTTATACCTTAGTTCTGTCTTATTAATTGCACTCACAAGATAACAAGAATTTGTTCTATTTTTATCTTGTCAACTTAGACAAAACAACAGAAGATTTTGTGAAATGACATAATAAAAATGATGATTTTGTTCAAAACTTGTTGAATAAAGTTGCAACAAAATAAGTCTAAGCATTGATCTATTTTATCTATCAACCACTAAAGTGGTACAGTCGCACCAACTTACATTGACGATAATTGTGATGATGGGTACGAAACGAATATTCTTTTTTACAGTCCCAACTTTTCACCGATAATTTGAACCATTGCTAATGAATAAAGTCGTACTATTTTTTATCTAAAAATGACAGTGATGTAATGTGTTGTTCCAAAACACATATAAGATTTCTTTTCAAAACGCATAATGATCGTTCCTTTGAATATATATATCGCACAAACAACCGAACAATTTATTGTTTCTCTTTTATAAATAAGTATAAGCTTTTCCCTTGAGAACTTTTAACCTATTGCTAATCTGAAAATGAAGATCTTTGATGTGAGTTTCATCAGAGAGTTCATAGTGAAAGCTTCCGGTGATCAACCAGAGAAAGTTAATAGCCTTGCTCTCTCAAATCTTGACCTTCTCTCCGGCCGTTTTCCGGTGACTTACTTTTACTTCTACCCCAAGAAACAGAATTTATCCTTTGAAACGATCGTCAAATCCCTCAAAGCCTCTCTCTCGGAGACTCTTAACTACTTCTATCCTTTTGCGGGTCAGATTGTTACCAACGAAACCTCTCAGGAGGAGCCTATAATCATCTGCAACGACAATGGAGCTTTGCTTGTCGAAGCCAGGGCCAGTGTCGATCTCAAAAGTTTGGATTTTTACAATCTTGACGCGTTTCTCCAGTCAAAGCTGGTTCGGGTTAACCAGGATTTCCCTTTACAGATTCAAGCCACAGAGTTTGAATGCGGAGGCCTCGCAATAACATTCACCTTCGATCATGCTTTAGGGGACGCAAGCTCCTTCGGGAATTTCCTCACTTCGTGGTCAGAGATATCGAGAAATCAGCCTGTTTCTTGTGTACCAGATCACAGGAGAAATCTCCTCCGGGCACGGTCTCCTCCACGTTATGACCCTCACTTGGACAAAACATTCATAAAATGCAGCGAGGACGACATTAAGAACATACCAACGCCTAAAACTCTCATCAAGCGTCTCTATCACATCAATGCTTCGAGCCTATACACGTTGCAAGCTCTAGCTACTGTAAACGGAGAGAGCAGGACAAAAATTGAAGCTTTCTCCGCTTATGTGTGGAAGAAAATGGTGGATTCTATAGAGAGTAGTCATAAGACCTGCAAGATGGGATGGCTTGTGGACGGTAGAGGAAGACTCGAGACCGTTACCTCCAACTATATAGGAAACGTCTTGTCTGTAGCTGTCGGAGAAGCCACTATCGAAAATCTGAGGCAAAACCATGTATCAGAGATAGCAAACATAGTGCATAAATCGATAACACAAGTAACAAACGATATTCATTTCACAGATTTGATAGATTGGATAGAGAGTCACCGACCTGGACTGATGTTGGCTCGGGTGGTTCTCGGACAAGAAGGGCCAGCTTTGGTCTTGTCTTCAGGACGACGGTTCCCTGTGGCTGAATTGGATTTTGGATTTGGTGCTCCTTTCCTAGGGACTGTATGTTCAACGATTGAGAAAATAGGAGTTGGTTACCTGAACCAGCGACCTAGCGCCTGCAATGATGGCTCGTGGTCAGTTTCTGCTATCGTGTGGCCTGAACTCGCTGAAGCTTTAGAGTCTGACTCAGTTTTTCAGCCAATGTCTGCGAAACATCTTCAACTCCAGACCTGAAAAAATGCTCAGCTAACGAGAAAAAAATAAGCCCAAAGGAAGAAGCTTTCATCGCTTTCTTTATTATATGCAAAATTATGGTTACATTATGGTTACAATGTGGCAAAACCATGTAAGAGTTTATCCTTTTCACATCTTCTACACTATATGTTACTTCTGCACAGGAAACAAAAACAAAATCAGGGAGCTCGCCAGATTTCAAATATTCAAACCCATGGTCAGAAGTCTCAAGGCTTCTTCAAATATTTCTTGGCTTCTGCGGAGAAGGTTCTAGCGATTTGTTTGTCGGAGAATGTTAAAGGAAGTTCTTCATCATCATAATTAGTCTCACTTCCGTCTATCCAGCTATGAGGTCTACTTGAGTCTTTTGGACTATCATCTCCTTCGACGGAATCCATGGGTGAGTTTGGTTCATCTTGTAACTCGCGATACAAGTGTTTAATTATAAAAAGAGCAGTATCATTATCTCTCCAATAGTTTCTGCACAGTATATAACAGTCTTGAGTTCTTGGCTCTAAACGTTAAATGTAATGTGTTAACAATGAAAAGTTTCACTTACGTATGAGCTCCTATTGCTTGTAGATACGGATGCTCAAAGGTTTTATCCTGCATCACCCAATTATTGCAGCAATTATTATATGCAAACTAGCGAGCTTTAGCCAAATGTCAGTACATATTGATTCGGTTTTTTACTCATATTGCAGTTCCCAAGAACTACAGCATCCGCAGGAAAACTGGAATCATAAAATTTATAAATTAGGAGGAAATGCATCAAAACTTCACCTGGAGCATGTGATCTATTCGACCATCTCTAGTTCCAGTTAATCTCTCCATCATTAAGGAACCATAGGTCCTTCCATCCTTTTCGTCATCAGTTTCTTCCATCTCTGTTCCATCACACATACAAAGTAAAATTAGAAGTAAATCAGAGACAATAGAAAAACCTTGCAAAGAAATGACTTTTTTACCGTCTAGGTTATCCGCACTTTTGGATTGACAAATAGTGAGAACTCTTGTCTGCATGAGAATTAAAGATAAGTACATTAAATCACAAAGCATAACAACTTGGGTCAGTATTACAACATATAGAAAACTAGATAGAAATCCAAAATTACGCACCCTTACTGAATCAAAATGATTCATTACTCTCTGTGAACGCGCCACAAAATCCTCTTTGAAATCCTATAGAACATTACACAGAGCAACCGAATTAGAAGCGGACGCAAAAAGAAATGCAAAACCACAAAATTTAGAGTACCTGTAATCCAATATGCAACCGCTTACCACCTCTGTGGTAGGGAATAATAACAGGTCGCCTGGGAAGGTACTCTTTACAGACAAGTGGCTCCAATCTGCGTAGAACACTGTTACATACTTGCAAAAGAGCGTAACAAAGACAGCGAGATCATAAACTAATTACACATTGTTTTATTTCCATGAAGACTAACCTATATGCAACAGGATCATAAGGGTGAAAAATGTTGAACATTCGACGACAAGCTGGCATCTCTTCAATAGCATTCTCCTCTTCCCAGTAATCTGTTCCCTTACCTAACACATATTGAACAGCTTTTAGATCCTTTAAAGAGACTTCGCAAAGAAAAGTGAACAATCAATTCAATAGCAGAGTAAAGAACCTACAAGAAAAAATAAGAATTCAGCCGATTACTATGATTGTCTATTCACAGATCTCTTGTTTTCTAAATCCCGGTGTTACATAAAAACCAATAAGCAAATGAAAGCGCTAATTAATGAGTAATACCTATCCCAAGACGTATATTTCGAAGGGCGAGAAATACTCCAAGAGGAGACCCAACTGCAAAGAAAGTGTCAACCTGAGCAGAATATGCAGATCAGAGTTAGAGTGATGTTTTTTCAGTGTGGGTTTTGAATGTGAGATATACACTTTAGTTCTACAACCCCACACCTTGAACTCAAGCTTTTGGTACTTGATAAAAGGAGTAAAGCTTGTTGGTGTATTGGCATCTTCAGTTGGCGCCTTCTCGTTGTTGAACTGCTTAGGCACCACAGATGCCTTCGCTTTTTCTGTTGATAACACCATTTCATATCCATCACTCAGATGTACATGAATGAAGTTTTAATATGGGGAAAAATAAAACATCAACAGTTAGAAACAATACCATCAGACAATATCCTGGCATTCTCTGATTGCAGCTGCGCTACTTTTGACCTCAATGAGTTAACCTGGGATAACAATAACCATGATCAATGGAAACATGAGTCTTTATCTGTTTTGGTCAGTTAGCCAAAAAACTGGACAATCCATAGAGAACACAAAAATTAGAAAGTATCAGATGCTATGAACAGAAGTGTTGAAAGCTTGTAAGCCCTAAACACATAATCTCATCAAAGAATGAAAACTTAAATGTGCCACTATTTACCTCTTCTTGTAACAACTTGATAGTCTTCTCATTATTAGAAATGCCACTCTCTTTATCCCATGATTGCTCTTGAGAACATGATGAAGAATCAGGTGTTTCACAGTTCGCTCCATCTGGACCATCCTGTGCGGAAATAGCACCATTAGAATCATGATGGTCATCTTCCTGGCTGCCTCTTCTTTCCAAACCCACGTTGTCTACAACAGAATCAGAGATCAATGAAGGAGCTTCCTGGATGACATCGTGATCCTCCAATACCGTTGATTCTTTAGCCATCATGTTATTATCTTGACCTGTGATTTCCTCAGTGTTATTCAACTGCTTTGATTTTTCTGACTCAAGATTTGATGATGGATGTGAACTACAAGGTTTGTCCACGCCAGCTGGAACTGGAGGAGATTCTTCATCTGGAAAAAATTTCTTGTATATTGAATCCATTGGAAATGGGGATGACAAATTGTGCTGATGACATAAGATGTCATAGGAGAGAACACTCCCCAAAGAATGTCCATAAATGGAAATCTGTAAAAGTCAATGAAGAGAACATGAATTTCAATTTCTAGCAGGCGTACACTAGTCAAAAGTTGATGAATGAAAAATACTAGATCAGATACCTTTCCTACATAGTCAGGATTCCGCTTTAAAAATTTCAGATACAGTCTATTCAGCTGCTTTGAAACCTGTCAAACGAAAAAAGAGCACAAATCACTTTTCATACTAAAAAGATAACCAGTTATAATGATACAGGAGATGAAAGTAACAATCTCTTATAACGTTTTATAAATCTAAAACTAAATCACGAATTTGTTTCAATTTGGCACTTTAAGAGAAAGTGAACATCAAGTTTGGGAAATATCAATACCGAATCAATTATAGCCTGACAGTATATGGGGCTCATGTAGTATAACACATCATGAACAGTTGCACTCAGCATCTCTCGTAAACGCCGTACACCGTCTAAAGTACATTTATCAACAGCAGCTTCACCGCTTAGCTTTAGACCCTTTCTCCACTACAAAAACAATAGAGAAAGACAGAATCCATAAAGTAAGATCATACTATACAGAGATAAAACAGAAGGGGATAGAAATATTTATGTATCTGTGTATAGATACCTGGCATGGGATGAAAAGGACTCGTTGAGTGCTGAGCTGATGAGAGGTTAGATGACGCTCCGCTAAAGCTGCCGTGATTTGCCGAAAATTTCCAACATCGTCAACAAGATTAGACTTTTCGACTTTTTGGCCAATACCATGAACCATAAATACAAGATGACGAACAGGGACCTGGACAACATAACACAAAACAGAAACTTTGAGATATTCTACACACAATTTAACGATAGATATCAGATTCTCTATATGCAAATGCAAGTCACAGAAAACAATGGCATACAAAGACATACTTGAGAACAGTAGTCATCCATTTCTTCCTCCTTTTGTTGTCGTAGTTCTTCCTGAACAGATGCACGATAAATATATGTTCAATTACAAGAACTCTAACCAGCTAACAAGAAGAATCTAAACGTAGGACTTAATCTGATTTTTCAGTATATAGTGGTAAGGATAGAGTTAAGAAAATTAACAAACGAAATTAGAAAAGTCAAAAAACCTGCGTAGGTTTTGAAGAGTAGGAACCAGCATAACCTCGTCTCAACTTAATTCCATTCCCAGTATATCCAACAATGCCAGAGAATCCAGAAGGATCAACATTAAGCCACGATTCCCAGGTGTCATCCTCCCCAGTAAAGAGAGCATGGAGTCCCTACAATACCAATTTGGATAATATTATCTATGAACCATTTAGCTGACAAAAATACAGTTTCGTACCCATGAAATCAAACACATACCAGACTGGAACCCTGCAAATCGATACGAGCTGCAAAAAGCCCAGAGGGTTGAAAACTTCTTCTGCGCCAAACCTGGGTGAAAATAATCCAAACTTATTGGTGCTATTGTCAAATCATCAACAATATATATGAACAGAACTATCAAGAGTTCCCAACAAAAGAGAGAGATTAAATGGGCAACAAGAGATAGCTTTAGTGGATTTATGAATCTTAAAACCAAAAACAAAACTAAGAGAAAAAGCATCCATTGCTTCTAGTTCTGGGAAAACCGGAATCATAAATTCGAATTGTATTCCACAGAAAGATATCTAACCTTGTTACGATATGCAACCTCCAACTGCTCAGAAAGTGTTTCTGGCATTGGAAGCCAGTCTAGGCCACCTTTACGAGCAAACCAATGGCCTCTAAGCACACGGCGATTATCTCCATTCCAGTACACGGGAAAACAATGCCTCCTCACCAAGTCCACCTGCAGCATTCCGGTTCCTTGGTCAGAAACATAGATTGAATGTAAGGACTATAATGGCTCAGCCTATTAAATTTACAAGAAAATTCTAAAACACTCTTTGAATCTCTGGACGGTGGTACCTCATATAGCCCACCCTTAACAGGTACACCAACTCTTTCCTCTTCAACTTCATATAGACTAGAGGACACAGAAGCTTCAGAAGGAGTTTCGATTGACTGCTTAACCAATTTGCTTTTAGAATTAACTTGTGGTCTCGGACCTTCACTGCATTCTGCATACTCTTTCCACCAGAGTGACAACAACTCATCTTCTCTCTATTGCACATATATCCCAAAATATATACTTTTGTCAGATATCACAACCCATTCAAATTTTGAACCATCCGATCAAGAACTTGTCGATATAAACAAATACAAACCACAAAAGCTTAGAAGAAGGAGAAGTACCTGAAGGAAAGATGCCTCAATCGCAAGAGAATCCCTCATACCAAAACGGAAATACTCACTCTTTCCTACTACATCAGTGCGAGGTACTGAAGCAGCTAATTCTGCAGAATATACATAACAACATCATATCTTCAATCCAGACATAAGAAATTTGGATTCACAAACAAAGCCCCTTCTATAATCAACCCACTAAACCAACCAATTAATGATATGGCATTGCTAATGACATCTTCTAAGCTAGCAGCAATTTCTATTTCTAGCTATTTATTATCGCTACTATAAGAGTTATGAAGCTGAAACAAGCCAAATAAGACTCACCGTTTTCAGCTAAAGGAACCTTACAAAAGTACCACCGAACATCACTCCCATCAGATGGACTTCGAGTCTGAGCAAGATACTTTTGTCTACCATAACATTGCTCAATCACATCTTCCAATCTCGCAATATTCGAAGGCGTATTCTTCAACAAATCCGGAGAAGTTTCATTAATCTCCCGAGTTCCTAAACGTGCTTCTCTATCTTCCATCTAATCCAAACCAAAAAAAAAACAAAAATCATAAAAAAGCATCAGACTTTGGACTAGAAAACACAAACCTAAATCAGTAATCAGAAAAAAAAAAAAGTCTAATTTCAAAACCAACAACGAGTTTCTGATCGGTTCGGTGATCAAATTACTGAAAACTTTTAACAAACCCCTGCAGAGAACAAATATCAAGAATCAATACATACCACGACCCAGGTGGTGTTAAAGGATGAAGCTTTAGACGGGAATTAACAGAAAGATTACAGATTTTTTTGATTCGATGAAAAGCCAAATCCCAGAGAAGAGAATTAGAAACAAGGAACAAACCAAAAAAAAAGGTCGTTTGAAAATGATGAAAAAAAGAGAGTGACAGCTGTGAAATCGAAAATGAATTGAAAGGTTTTAAGTTTTTGTTGAGAGAAAGAATATTCGCGAGAGGCCGAAGCCGAACAAACAGCAAATCTTTGCTTTAGCGGTTGCGTGTACTGTCATCTTCTCCAAACTACTACCACGTAGATGCCATGTCATCACTCATTAATTACGTTTTATTTTGACAGTTTACCTTCAACATTAATTACCTAAATTATTATACTAATCTCAAAATTAACACATTTGTTTTTGATTACGACATAAGAAAAACCCAAAAACCCATTCTTGAAAAAGCGGTAGATGAACAACTAACACTTTTTTGCAGTCAACATCATCATCATCAACATCATCATCCTTTGTATATGAGACCTCGAATCAGAGATGCTTCAGATAAACTCCGACCAAATCGAGACGACGATCACGGCGAAGCTAAGTTTCATCGGAAGCACCTTCCGCCTCTCAGGACCATGTTCGGTCGATGGCGGAAATGGACTGTTCTCGTTGCGGCGATCTGGATTCAAGCATCGACGGGGACCAACTTCGATTTCTCTGCTTACTCTTCCCATCTCAAATCGGTGCTTGGAATTTCTCAGGTGAGGTTGAATTACCTCGCGGTGGCTTCTGATTTGGGGAAGGCGTTTGGGTGGTCGTCGGGGATTGCTTTAGGTTATTTCCCTCTCTCCGTCGTTCTTTTTGCTGCGGCGGCTATGGGATTTGTTGGTTATGGTGTTCAGTGGCTTGTCATCACCAACATCATCACTTTGCCTTATTCTCTGGTACATTTATAACTATTTGAATTCGAAATGATGTGTTGCTGCTTCTGCGTTCTTGTAGATCAAGAATCTGATTTGAATGTGGAATTGATTTATTAGTCTGTTAGATTTTTTGATAGAACAGTATTTGATTTGACGTAGTGATTGAATCATTTTTTAAACATGATAGGTGTTTCTCTGCTGCTTGTTGGCTGGATTAAGTATCTGTTGGTTCAACACAGCTTGTTTCATCCTCTGCATTCGTCATTTCCCGAACAATCGTGCTCTCGCTTTATCTTTAACGGTGAGCTTCAATGGAATCAGTGCAGCATTGTACTCACTTGCTTTCAATGCAATTAACCCGTTGTCCTCGAACTTATACCTTCTGCTGAACTCTCTGGTTCCCCTTGTCGTTTCCTTTGCTGCCCTTTACCCGGTTCTTGCTAAACCATCTTTAGACCCTACACCAGATAGTGAATCCCGACGACATGACTCTCATGTGTTTACCATTTTGAATGTCTTAGCCGTCATGACAAGTTTCCACCTTCTCCTATCCAGTTCCAGTACTTCATCAGCTCGGTTGAATTTTCTCGGAGCTATCATCCTTCTTGTTTTCCCCTTGTGTGCTCCCGTTATCGTTTATGCTCGGGATTACTTTCTTCCAGTTATTAATCATCGTTTAAACCATGACAACTCTGGCTATGTTATGCTTAACGTAGATGAGCTCAAGAGCCAAAAAGCGTTTGTTTCCAGCAATACCGGATATGAACATATGGGGACTGCTAAGGAAGGCTACATAGTGAGGCTCGGTGATGAGCACTCGTTTCGATTGCTCATTAGTAGATTGGAGTTTTGGTTATACTACATTGCCTATTTCTGTGGTGGCACAATTGGCCTTGTTTATAGCAACAATTTGGGACAAATTGCTCAGTCTTTGGGACAAAACTCTACAATCCTAGTCACTATCTACTCTTCATTCTCTTTCTTCGGTCGTTTGCTCTCTGCCGCGCCAGATTTTATGCACAAGTAAGTTTCATTTATAGATTAATGAATGTTTAATGTGAAATTTGCTTAACATATTCTCATTAAGAATACTGGATCTTGCAGGAGATTTCGTTTGACAAGAAGCGGCTGGTTTGCAATCGCACTCTTGCCAACTCCAATCGCTTTCATTTTACTGGCTGTATCATCCTCACAGCAAACAGTACTACAGACCGCAACCGCCTTAATCGGTCTGAGCTCAGGTTTCATATTCGCAGCTGCAGTCTCCATAACATCAGATCTCTTTGGACCCAATAGCGTAGGTGTTAACCACAACATTCTCATCACAAACATACCCATCGGCTCCCTCTTATACGGTTACGTCGCTGCCTCCATTTACGAATCCAACGCAAGCCCTGAAATAACACTAATCGTGTCTGACTCCATAGTTTGCATCGGAAGAGACTGCTACTTCAAAACATTTGTGTTTTGGGGTTGCTTGTCTATCCTGGGCGTCGTTTCAAGTCTGTTACTGTACATAAGAACCAAACCGGTTTATCACCGGCTCGAACAAGAACAGGTTTCAATAACAACATCATACAAGGATCTTGATCCGTTGTAAATCAAATTTGTAACACAAAGAAACCACATTGGCAGTTTCTCTTGATTATACACGAGTTCGTACTTACATTTACATATCATAAAAATAGAATGTTCTCGTATAAACTTAAAATTAAAATTGTCTTTAATAAAGTGAACTAATCACGCATTTTTGACGCGCACAGTATCGGAGCCAACGTAACTGACAAAAACATGAATTAGCCGTTGGGACGAGTGACGACTTTTTTTACTATCATTTTCTTCTCTCACTCTTATTTCTTTCTTCTTCCCCAAAAAGCAAAAAAACCCTAAAGAAGCTTCGTTTCTATTGATAATGGCGGATTTTGGGTATTTTTCGGATACAGACGATTCAGCAGTGGAAGAGTTGGTTTCTCAAGCGAAGGAGCTTTCGGCTTTGGAGCAAATAGCTGCAATCAATTGTTCAGGATTCACCGATTCTACTCTTCCCGATGATCTCGAGTCTCGTTTCCGTCGCCTCAAATCTCTTCCAGCTCCTCCACGACCCGACCCTGTTTCCTCTTCTTCGTCGAAGAATACGAATAAGCATCTCACGCAGTCCAGGAGCGTTGCGAGTCATCATCCCAAGGAGGATGATAAATTCTCAGGAAATCGAAGTAATCCAGGTAAGAAACCTGGTCCTGTGACTTTATCCGATGAGGATTCGAGTAATTTATCGAGGAACAAACGAGATCTGGACTTGAAATCGAGTTCGCGAGCTGAGCTTGTCTCTAACGGAAGCGGAGATTTCTCCGATTCTGGAAACGAGAGTAAGATTTTCTCGCCAGTGAAACAAACCAAGAAGAAGCTACCCAAAGAGAAACGCAGAATCGTATCATCACCGTCTTCGTCATCTTCAATTGATTTAGCTACACCACCATCATCAACAGATTCAGAGCCAGAGAAAAGATCGAAGTCGAAATCAAAATCCAAATCATCCTCCTCATCAACCTCATGGTTCGACAAGTTATCTCCGTCGAAAATCATCAGATCAATTTGGCGTTCTTCGCCGAATAAATCGTCAACAAACAACAAGAAGAATCTGAAAAGTTGTAAATCGTTTAACACCGCTGCTACTTATTCCTCTGGTCGAGAGAGGAACATCGATTTCGACGAGTTTTTATCTGATCTCAATGCATTTCCAGTGGAAGATCAGAGAAAAATGTTGAAGAAAGCTCTCAAAGAGCAGCAGAAGATGAGGAAAGAAGCAGCTGAGATCATCAAAATGGCGAAACAAGCATCAGCTAGATTCGATTTTGATGATTAAAGAAAGATAGAATTGGGAAAGAATCTGCTATTTGGGTTTTTTGGGGTTTGGCTGGTTCGGTTCAGTTGTTTTGGTTATTTAATTTTCCCGGTTTGAAGATATATAAAATGTAACCAGAAGTATAAATAAGAATTATAATTTAATTATATCAACAAAGCTATTGTGTTGATTCGTTTAACATAAGTGAAAACCCGAAAGTCACATGATTAATGCTTATTAACCATCCCACATCTCCCACTAAACCTCTTAATTAATGAAAATTAAAGCTAATCTAGTCAAATCACCAAACTCCTTGCCGTTTCAATCTTTTCGAATTCCCATTCGTGCCGTTTATATAAACTCATCCAAGCTTCACTCATTCCCACCATAACAACATTCCAAGAAAATCGAAAATGGCAACCAAAACATTTCTCTACTGTTCTCTCTTCGCTATCGTCTTCTTCTTCGCTTCCACTTCTTCAGCTCACTTGAATATAACCGCTCGCGTCGAGCTTATCCACCGTGACTCTCCTCATTCACCACTTTACAACCCTCACCACACAGTCACCGACCGTCTAAACGCAGCTTTCCTCCGTTCAATCTCTCGTTCCCGCCGTTTCTCAACCAAAACCGATCTCCAATCCGGTTTAATCTCAAATGGCGGCGAATACTTCATGTCCATCTCTATCGGTACTCCACCGTCGAAAGTCTTAGCCATCGCTGACACGGGAAGTGACCTAACGTGGATCCAATGCAAGCCATGTCAACATTGTTACAAGCAAAACAGTCCACTCTTCGACAAGAGCAAATCCTCCACCTACAAAACCGAACCTTGCGATTCCAAATCCTGCCACGCCTTGTCCGAACACGAAGAAGGGTGCAATGAATCGAGAGACATCTGCAAATACCGTTACTCTTATGGAGACGAATCGTTTACCAAAGGAGATATTGCAACCGAAACAATCTCCATCGATTCTTCCTCTGGCTCCCCTGTTTCATTCCCTGGTACAGTCTTCGGCTGCGGCTACAACAACGGTGGTACGTTCGAAGAAACCGGCTCCGGAATCATTGGACTCGGAGGCGGTTCGTTATCGTTAGTTTCCCAGCTAGGTTCTTCCATAGGGAAAAAGTTCTCGTATTGCTTGTCACACACGTCATCTACAACAAACGGTACAAGCGTCATAAACCTAGGAACCAACTCGATTTCTTCCAAGCCAAGCGAAGAGTCCGCTACCCTCACTACACCGTTAACCGTAAAAGACCCCGAGACTTACTATTTCTTAACTCTCGAAGCAATCACCGTCGGCAAAACCAAGCTTCCATACACTGGAGGAGGATACAGTTTAAACAAGCAATCAAAGAAAGGAACCGGGAACATCATAATTGATTCCGGCACTACGCTTACGCTTCTCGACTCAGGATTTTACGATGATTTCGGTGCGGCCGTGGAAGAATCAGTGACCGGAGCTAAACGTGTGAGTGATCCACAAGGGATATTAACACACTGTTTCAAATCCGGAGACAAAGAGATCGGTTTGCCGGAGATAACAATGCATTTCACTGACGCCGACGTGAAGCTGAGTCTGATCAACGCGTTCGTGAAAATGAGTGAAGATATGGTCTGCTTGAGTATAATTCCGACAACTGAAGTTGCTATCTATGGTAACTTGGTTCAGATGGATTTTCTTGTCGGCTATGACTTGGAGACCAAAACGGTATCGTTTCAGAGTATGGATTGCGCTGGTAACTTATGAAGCTAAACGATGTCGTCTAATATTCATAATAATAATAATACTTTATTGAACTTAATGAATATTCAGTATAAATAATTTCTTAATTTCCTTCTTTAAAATAATAACCTGAAAACAAATTGGAGCTCCTATTTTAGTCAAATAAAGTATTCAAGTGAAGCCAGACCGACGAAATTGACAAGTTTTTTTATTTTTATATGAAAGCAATTGACAAATTATTTAAGGTTGTTGAAAATTAATTCTATTTTCTAAAGTGATATGATAACCTCATGTTGAAAATGATATTCACCAAATAAACAATGAAATGGAGATAATAATAATATTTTCTTCCTGCGGTCCAATTAATATTAGCCATTTAAAAAACAGTATAATAAAAAATTTCACAAAATAAAAATTAAGACTACATTAACAAAAAAATGAAGTTAATGAGAGTACATCAAAATGGAAGACCACTGAAAAAAAAGAAAGTGTTGGAAACCGAAGGAGTAGCTGATTCAGCTTTCTCCACTAATTAACTCATTCCATTGTCGTTACCTTTTTTGTTTTCTTTCTTTTCCGACTGTTACCTGTAAAGAAGAGAGTTAATAAGGATCAATTGCAAAAATTAAAAAAAAAAAACTCAACCTTTATCTCTCTGCTTCATCTATCTGAGAAATTTCAACTTACCCTTTTTCCCCAAATCTCTCGATCTATCGGTTGGTGGTAGTACTGAAGAGACTGGACTTGAGCTACTTAGAAGGAAAACAAAGTTTGCGAGTGTATTTTTTTTTTTTTGGGGTTTTCTGAGCTTTGTTTTTCCAGCCATGGAAGCTATAAGAAAGCAAGCGGCGAAGCTCAGAGAGCAAGTCGCCAGGCAACAGCAAGTGGGGCTTTCAAAATTTATTTTTCTAGATTTCTCTGTTCTTAGATTTATGTCTCTGGTTACTGAGAAATTTTATTGTATGGGTTTCAATAAAGGTTGAATCTTTGAAGTGGTGATGGTTAATTTATAGCTTTGGGGCATATAGGATTGTCAAAGTATGAATTGGTTTTAGTTAGGTGAAAAGTATGGACTTTTGCTCGTTTTAGGCATAGATTACCTTATAATTTCAGACAAGATTTGTGTAGGTTTCTCTATTTGTATTAAAAAAAATTGGTTATTGTGCAGGCGGTTTTGAAGCATTTGGGGCATGTTAATGCGGATGCTGTTGTCGTTGATGAAGAAGAGCTTCATTGTCATCAGAAGCTTCAAGATCTGTATAGTTCTACTAAAGCTGCAAAGGTAAAGATAGATTAATTTTAGGTTTTTCTTAGGGTGTCTCGGATAATAATATACTCTTATTAGTGTTTTGGTTTATTAAGATTTCTTCTCTGTTCACAGCGTTTGCAAAGGAATATTGTTCGCGGACTCGAAGGTTTCATTGCGACAGGCACAAAAGTTGTAGAGATTGGTAAGTTCTTGTTTTCTACTTCATCTCATATATATATGCTTCGTGCGATCAGATTTGTGATGGTGTATGTCCATAGGGTTGAAGTTTGCTGAAGATTTTAAAAAATATGGAGATGAGAATCCTGATGCTAATACTCCTCTCTCAAGAGTTGCACATCACTTTGGGACCTCTTACAAGTCGGTGGAAGGCGAGAGGGAAACACTCCTTGGAGTCCTTAGTGAGCAGGTATGTTCTGGAAACATTTTCATTCCATTCTCTATTCTTTTACCCGGCAGAGTTGCTCTAGGGCTAGCAAAACTATAGTGCATTTTTAATAAAGCTTCAGAGTTATTTGGTTAGGTTTGTGAGCCAATTCGTACGATGATATATAGTGCGCCTTTGGAAGATGCTAGGCATTTGGTGAATCACTATGACAGGCTGAGACAAGAAGTTGAAGCTCAGGTATAAATCTTATTAAAGCTCTATTTGGTTTCTTTTGAGGCTACTTCTAATTCTTGTGGAATTAATTATTTGGGGACGAAAAACTTGCTTGTCTAACAGGCAACTGATGTACTGAGGAGAAGATCAAAATTGAAGGAATCTGATATTTCTGAAGAAGCCTACATAAAACTTAAGAATTCCGAAACGAGATTGGCTGAGCTCAAATCAAGTATGAAAACTCTTGGCAAAGAAGCAACTAAGGCCATGTTGGAAGTCGACGATCAGCAGCAGAATGTAACTTATCAGCGCCTCCGTGATCTGGTAATCTCCACTTAAACCATACCTCAGCTGATGATTATTTACTTGTTCCTTGATTGGATATGGATAAAATTACCAACGCAGGTTGAAGCCGAGAGAGCATATCATCGTAATGCTCTTGATATCCTCGACAAGCTACACTCTGAGGTCAGTAACATGCTTTATTTACATACTACAGATTATGACCTAGTTGACTACATAGTACATACAATCAGGCATATGAGCTGGTTGCTTCCTTATTCAGATGATTGCTGAGGAAGAAGCTATAGGATCATCACCAAAGTCACTGCCTTTACATTTAGAAGATGCTGCTTCTGCTCCCCCAGAAGAATTGGGTTCAAATACCTCAGGAGAGATCAAACCAAATACCTCGGGAGAGATCAAATCAAATCGTCGAGAAGAAATCAAGTCTAATCCCCAAGAAGTAACCAAAACCAATCCCAAGGACAAAATGAAGTCTAGTTCTCAAAAAGAAACCAAATCCAACCACCAGACAGAACTCAAGTCTAGTCCACAGGAAGAGATCAAGAAGTCCAATGGATCTGATGATCATCACAACCATCCACTTCTCAGTCAGAATGATTCTTACTTTCTTGCAAAAGTAAAGCCTTTCAACATACTTCAACTCTAATTTAAGTCGAATTTACAAATTCTGGGGAATAAGATTTATGTTTTCTTGTTTTGACAGGTTGTGCACCCATTTGATGCTCAAGCCCCAGGAGAACTCAGTCTCGCTGTCGATGATTATGTAATTGTGCGGCAGGTACATTTCCTCGCTACCCGTATATAACAATAGATACAAAATAGTGAAATGATGTTAACGAATTTGTTGTGTTTGATAAAACAAATTTAGGTGGCTGGAACAGGCTGGTCAGAAGGTGAATACAAGGGTAAAGCCGGATGGTTTCCGTCTGCGTACGTCGAGAAACAAGAGAAAGCTCCCGCGAGCAAGATCGTGGAAACAAACACCAAGTAGCAGTGATCTCTTTCTTTAACTTTATATATATACATCCGTAAAGTATGTGTAAGCTACGATTGTGTTTTTTTATACCTTAAGTCATACGTAAGTATGGTTGCGTGAGATATGCTTCCACGAGTAAATAGGATCTTGTGTAAGAAGATACGATTGTGTTTTTTCGTCCTTTTTCTCATGTATCATCTCAAGTCTTAACTATTGAGGCAATTTCTCCACGCAGTTAATGAGAATCCTGTTTTAACTCTCATAATGATGTCTTTTAAAAGCTTGTTTCAGAATCCTATTTTATCTTCTTTGTGAAGCTAATCAGCTTGAGAAACCGATTCGAGGTTGAATTGTGAAGACTCTGTTTTTTGTGATATTATGTACACGAAAGTTCACAACTTTACATTTTCGTTTCATTTGTTGTATTGGCCAAACCATAAAAAACCTAACTTTAACGTCTTGTTTTAGTAATCACAGTTTTGTGTCAAGGTAGAGTATTCTGACATGATCATGGGTTCTGTACAAACTCCATCACTTGTTATGTATAATAAGATGCTCAAGTCTCTTGCGGATAGTAAAAGCTTTACGAAAGTTTTGGCTTTGTTTGGTGAATTGCGAGGACAAGGCTTGTATCCTGATAGTTTCACCTTACCGGTTGTTCTGAAATCAATTGGACGTTTGAGGAAAGTTCCAGAAGGTGAGAAGGTTCATGGTTATGCTGTGAAAGCTGGGCTTGAGTTCGATTCTTATGTATCTAATTCACTCATGGGAATGTATGCTGCATTGGGTAAGATAGAGATCACTCATAAAGTGTTCGACGAAATGCCTCAACGAGATGTTGTTTCTTGGAATGGGTTGATTTCTAGTTATGTTGGGCATGGGAGGTTTGAGGATGCCATTGCTGTGTTTAAGCGGATGAGTCAGGAGAGCAATTTGAAGGCTGATGAGGGTACGATTGTGAGCACTCTTTCAGCTTGTTCGGTTTTGAAGAATTTGGAAATTGGTGAAAGGATTCATAAGTATGTTGTCACAGAGTTTGAAATGAGTGTTAAGATTGGGAATGCATTGGTTGATATGTTCTGCAAATGCGGTCGACTCGATAAGGCTAGAGCGGTTTTTGATTCGATGAGAGACAAGAATGTCAAGTGTTGGACTAGCATGGTTTCTGGGTATGTTAGTAATGGTAGGATTGATGAGGCTAGAGAGTTGTTTGAGAGAAGTCCTGTAAAGGATGTTGTTCTGTGGACAGCTATGATGAATGGCTATGTTCAGTTTAACCGGTTTGATGAGGCACTTGAATTGTTCAGGTGCATGCAGATTGAGGGAATTAGGCCTGATAATTTCGTGCTAGTTTCTCTCTTGACAGGTTGCGCGCAGACGGGAGCTTTAGAGCAAGGGAAGTGGATCCATGGGTACATACGTGAGAACAGAGTTACAGTAGATAAAGTAGTTGGTACTGCTCTTGTAGACATGTATGCAAAATGTGGATGCATTGAGACAGCTTTAGAGATTTTCTATGAAATGAAGGAGAGAGATACGACTTCGTGGACATCACTTATCTACGGTCTTGCCATGAACGGGATGTCAGGGAGAGCTTTGGACTTGTATTACGAAATGGAACATATAGGTGTTAGACTAGATGATATTACCTTTGTTGCGGTCTTAACAGCTTGTAATCATGGTGGATTTGTAGAGGAAGGACGTAGAATTTTCTATTCAATGCCCAAAGTACATAAGATCCAGCCTAAATCCGAGCACTGCAGCTGTCTTATTGACCTACTCTGCAGAGCTGGATCACTACACGAAGCAGAGGATTTAATAGATAAAATGCGAAGTGAAAACGACGAAACTCTAGTTCCCGTGTACTGCTCTTT